AAAAAAAAAAAAAACAATAGTATAGGTAACTAGTAAGGTCCCTATGTTACGCTCGGTCCTCGATCCAGAAATGCAAGCAGCCAAAGGCGCTGAAGTCTACATCGGCGGCATCCACTCGCTTGCCTACCTTCTCCCTCAGCATGGCCTTGCAGAGTTGAGTGGTAGAAAATGTCGGGCATCAGGTTTAGGGTATATATAAGACTTAGGATTTAGGGAATATATATATACATATATATATATATATATAGGTGCAGGGTTTAAAGAAGGGGCTGAGGGCTCGTCTAGGAAATATTACGATTTCACACGTACCAAGCAGGACATCCTTTGCTGGCCGAAGTTAATCTGCTTGAGGAGTTGAACCCTTAGACAGGGAAGAGGGAGCTATCAAAGTGCTTTAGCGCATCACGTAGATGAGTTTGCTTTTGGACTGCTACCTTTTTTGCAACACTCACCCCATCTGTATTGCAGATCCATCTAGAATTTGTTGAAGGTTTCCGACCCGACTTGACAGAAAGCCTTACGACGACTTGTTCGACAGTCCATGTCGCAGATATAACCCCTCCCCACGAGACTCTGTCTCCTTCGACCCCAGCGGCACAGGGCCCCATACGCTTGAAACACTCTGAGACCGTACAGGCCTGAAAGCCCGAGACCCTGTACATCCTCAGCCCCTAAACCCTGCACCGCGCAGCGAGCCTTGTGCAGCATGAATCGCTGGTCCTGCGGCTCGGAGCCGGAGGCTCTGCTTCAGGAACCGGAAGAGGGGTCTAAGCTTTACGGTTTGGAGCTGTTGGGTTGCGGGCTCGCAATCCAAGCTGACGCTTCAAGAGTCATCCACTATTGGTTAAATGCCCAGGTAGCTGGTATCAAGTAACCCTAAACCCTAAACCCTAAATATACCATGAACAACCTGGCAGCAATCAGCCTTCGTTCGATCCTCAAAGCTGCCCAGGGGTTTCCAGAAAACAGACACATCCTTGTGAGCTCCTGCGACCAGAGTTCCGAATACCCTCAACCGATATCCTCGATCCCTCAACCCATGAAGCCCTAAACCCCTGTAGTTGCCACATACTGCGCGATCCCAGTAAACCCGAAGCAATATAAGCTCCATACACCCCAAGACTTCTACAATTCAAACCTTGAGCCATTGAGCCTGCTAACGAAACCACAAGCCTGAAAATCTGAAGAACTTCAGGGTTGAAAACCACATCACCTTTCCCCCAAACCCCGGAGAAAAAAAAAACTAAACCTTAAACCCTGAACCTTAAACCTGAAACCCTGTAAATGCTAAAGTCTAAACCCGCACAAAATACCCAAAGAGCTCTCGGGTTCGCTTGGCAAGTCCTCCGAGAGCAGCGCGGTGAAGCGCTCGAGGAAGACCTGAGACATGGCTCCAAGTTCTGATAGGGTTTAGGGTTTAGGGTTTAGGGTTTAGGGTTTTTTTTTAAAGTGCAATGGACTTTCGCTCGCACGAACGCCCTGCCCTATTCGGGCATACACTACGGGTGTACAGCTGTACACACACCCCAAAGGAATTTCACAACCTGGGGCCGCAAGGTTCGCAAAGCGCACCTCCTCCCAGACGGCAGCAAGGTCAGCCAACAATCACTTTATTCCTTAGCACGTACATAGAATCCTGGGGCCGTAGGGCAGCTTTACAGCCACCCCCTCC